AGAGCCTGGGCTCTCCTGCCTTAGTTTGTTTCTGCCTCATACACAGAGTATCTGTTTCCAAGGCCCAGCAGCTACTGACATTTGAAAATATCACGCTGCAGTGGAACACTTTATGCCTCTGTTGAAAGCAAAGTTGCATCTCAAAGTCCCCAGAACCCACCACTGCTTTCCAAAGCACGAGTTTTTGATGAGGGCAGAGTAAATCAGCCAGCGTGCTCTCCACTCCTAAGTCCAGCCAAAAGCTGCTTAACACATCAGTCTCTGTCCTATAAATCAGGGTAGATGAGGACTATAACCGACTTCCCCTTCCTCCCTCTTTTAGGAAGGGCAGATTAATGAGGGCTACAGAAACATGAGAGCTATTAACAGGGATAAACACGTTACCCCTGACCCTGACCGCAGTTACTGGATCAGCTGCGTRTGCATGCCTCCCTGCACACACACACACGTGTGTGTGGACAACACAGCATTCAGATTTTCCTGGCACGTTGTCTGCTGCTGGCAAGATGAAGCAGTAACACTGCTGACACAGAGATGCTGAGGACTAACATAGGCCAGCGAAGTCGAAGTGAAATTAGGTTTCAAAGATTCCAGTCTTAATTTTCCCCTAAAACAGTCATTGTCTTCATAGTTTCCATATGAAGTTGTTTTCACATCCAGGCATTCTATATTGGTTACAATCTGCTTGGAGGCAGGGACTTTGGCTTTGGCCAGCTGAGATTGCAGCTTTTGTACATGATGTATCTCAGTACATGATGAAGTCTGCCATACTCTCTTTGTGCAACTCTCAAGCTTCCAAAGCACTCAGACAACATTAACAGAACATAAAAAATAATTCAGTTAAAAAAAAATCAAGTCCAATACTGCCAGCCTCAAAAGCTCTCTTATTTTACAGAGCTAAGAAAGAAATATTTGCATAAGCACAGGGGATGTTCTGATTTAGGGCAAATTTCATGAGTTACTCACATTGCAAGCTCCTATTTAGGTGCTTAAACAATTGCTGATTGCAAATATTTTTGTGAGAGTCACCTTTGAACCCTAATCTTTGCCAATACACAGCTGAGGGCTATTGAAAGGCATCCTCTGACCTCTTCTTCGACAACTCAACAACCACCAGTTAAAGACAACCTGGGATTTCTGGGAGATTTTCCAAAACTGCAAGCTAACAATGCCTAAAGCAGTCACTGCCATATTCTATGCTGAGGAATTTTTCTTCTTACTAGCTGAYGTWATGCGTGTGCTTCATTAATACAATGCTTTTATGCTTACATACCCCATAAAAACTTTCTATGAAAATAGCATCACCACTGATGCTTGACAAACAAGTATTTACTTCTTAATTTCACAGTCACTCACATGCATCTTTATGTCCCATATGCAACTCTCATGATGAAAGTGTGTGCGGCAATCGTACCTATTGATCATGTCAGATATGGAGATGATTGATAGAAATTAYGATGGGGATAGTGCCTATTGTTTCTGCATTTCATCCAATAAAGAGTTTGTTTAGCATGAAAACCATCTGTACATCAAGGGAGGGAAGAAACTGCAATGTATACTGCAGACCACTTGTTTTTCCTCTTTGATGGAACCCTAATTAACTGACTTTTCTTAACTGATTGCCAAGGGGTTATGCAGTGCCTCTTCCTGAAAGACATAAAACAGAGAAGGGAGATGATACCAAAAAAGAACACCCTAATTCAAGGGCAGGTTAGAGCCTGAAGTGAAAGCAAAGAAAAGCTGAACTAATTGTTCAGCCCAAAGAAAAGAAAATTGATGAGCCCATAGATTTTTTTCAAAGAAAAGGGAATCATCTGTTTCCCATGGCCAAAGTAGATAAGAAATGTCATAATGGATTTCATTTATAACAAGGGAATCTGGGGAAGATAGCTGAAAAAGAGTTAGAAGAATTTACCATTGGCACAGAATGTCACAGGAGGATACAGATTTGTCTCAACATAGGTTTTAAAGGAGCTTGTTAGACAAGTATGCCAGAAATTAAATGTGGAATGCAAATCCCACGCTTAGATGGGGAGATTGATTCACTGACTTCTGGACTGGTTTTACTAAATTTCTGATTCCATGGCTTTTAGAATGTGGTCTCCAATGGCAAGAGCAAGCTATGGGAGGAAGAGAAACAAAAAATGACCAGAAATAATGCAGACTAATGATATTTTAGAGCTTTCATTTCTGATAAGGTGGAATTAATCTCATCCTAAAAGTTTTTTCAGCAACTTAAAAAACRTAAGAAGTAGATAAGAACACTATATCAGTCGTATAGATGCCTTTACAGAAGCCAACCAGACATTCCTCCAGCATAATTCACATGAACTCTTCAAAACATCTGCTTTCAACTGAGTCAACCAAACATCTACTTTGTCAGTAAGTTTTATTTACTGGAAAAGAAATYTGCTGGGGATGGCTCAGTCCCAGGCACCCACATGCAGCTACCTAGTGCTAGCTAAAATGAATCCCAGTACAGGTRACTGGCTTCCCAACTCCATAAACTTTGCCTCTTGCTCATCTCTAGTATCAGGAGTTCTGAACCCAGACCACAAAACAAGGGCATTGTTCCTCCCTGAGAAGTAACTCCCAAAAGTGCAGAACACTGATTATTAATATATTTATTGTCTCTACTTCTYCTTCCCAAATTTTGCTTTTCTTTACTTCTTCTGCTGCAACAGAAGAAGTAAATATTTATTGTCTCTACTTCTCCTTCCCAAATTTTGCTTTTCTTTACTTCTTCTGCTGCAACACCTTAACTATTATTCTCATCATCTGGMTGAAATTTGAGAGTACTGGAGGGATGTAGTGACAAACTAGCAGAGTGTTGCTTCAAGATGGTTTTCAGGGAAGCAGAGACAGACTTCAGAACCCTTGTACAGTTGGACACCACTTCCTAATATTTGCAATGTACTCAGATTAACATGAGGAACACACAGACACACACTGTGATCACACAAATTTCMTTTGCCAAGCAAAACAAGTTAAGAACTCTTTTTTTAAATTTTCTTTCCAACTCTTGCTCCTGCTCAGAGAAGGATGACTCGATGCACATCAGTTGGTACACCAGCTGTTCCTGGCAAGAAACYTAAACAAATTCTCTGATACCAAACCTCCTGAAAAAGAGAGAGCCAAGTTGATGTGCATTTCTCAAAGGAATWAGAGACATAGTCTGGAATCTGATTTTCTCCCCTTTGTACACTCCTATAGTAAAAACAGTCAATGTTCACTAAATCTTTACCTGACAGAAAAGCAAGCACTACAACAAGCAGCTAAATTTGTGTTTTCAGCATAGATTTTAAGGATTTCTCTCTTTTAAAGATCAGTATAAAATGGTTTTATACACCTAAGTTTCAGAGAAAGATAGTGCCTAGTAGAAGAGTTGCTGATATGCCAGACAAAGACTAAGCAGAGTCAGGCTATATCTGTACTTTGACACAGGACCTCCAAAAACCAGTTACATATTTCAAAGGGATTTAGACAAATCTGTTGTCAGCACTTCTTGAGTCACTGCTCGAAAAACTGCCACAGGATTCACTGAGAGGAGACTCTGGGCAGCCACCAGTGTGACCTTTCTGATATGAGACAGAAGTGAATCCAGACTGCACTGTCAGCTACCCGGGTCTCCTCTCACTAAAGGAAAGGACCTCCATTCTGGGCTCAAAGCCACCTGGGAAATGCCTTTGCTGCTCAAATGTTGCCCTCACCTTTTTAATACCTGTCCTAAAGACAGCTAAAGCTATTTTTTTAGCTTTAGTACATTTTGCCTTAGAGGCAACCACAGCAACTTCATTACGAAAAAGAGCAGCTCTGGTGCTCTATTTTGATTTTTATTTCCATATTATAAGGTCCTCTAGAGGAAGGCAGAATGTGTTTTGCTTTTGTCTGTGCCTGACACAAAATGTCATTCCCTTGCCCAGAAGACATCTCCTTTTCCAGTTATCCTTCAACTCACAACATCAGGTCTGCACGAGTGGTCACCTTCTGCTCCCGCCCAAGCTAATGGAGCATTTKTCTGGATGCAGGTGAACCAAGAATCCCTCCAATTTCACAGGTTAGTCAGAGTAATACAATTGCATTATCTTGAATTGTGAAAGTATAATTGCATCAAAACTAACGGTGAAGCAGTGAAGCTAAGCAGGTACGTATACAGTAACTGTGAAGWAGCTACTGCTGTAACATAAATCTTCTCTGTCCAATTCTTCAGTCAACTGTTCTTTGAGACCTTTAATGTTTTGAAAAAATATGAGAGATTTTGATAGTAATGGATTACAAAGACACCATTGACTGAGAAGGAGTATAGGGGAAATAAAAACTGTCACTGTGCCTTGTTTTACACAAAAATAAATTCAATGTTGTTGGCAGCTTTGTTTGTCTGCTTGTTTAAATGCAAAAGGCCTAGTTAGTTTCTCTTCTTTTCCCTTACAACTGTGATTCCTAAGTCAGGAATATTGATTGTAACAATAAAGGTATCTGAAAATCAAACATACATTTTCCTTAGATGAATGCATACATTAATTTCATTATTGTATTATTCAGCCTCTGAAAAACAGAGAACTCCCTGAATTTTCTCAGATGACTTTGTCTGCMTTTGCTGATTATATTTATCTTCCATATCTTTCTTTATCACATTACCTATGAATCACTATCTAAATCTCAATGGTAAGTACTGTGAGCCTGAGAGATTCTGACAAGCAAACAGAAYAATTTCAAAGAGAAAATAAAGCCAAAACACAAAGAAAGACCTTGCAGAAACAGGAATTCCACCAAACATGACATTTCCTACAGTATGTGAAACTGAGGCTGGAATCAAGTTTTAAGCTGCAACAGRCAGACAACTTTATTGTTGCTTTCAATTCACTTATTTTCAGTATTTAGAACAAAAGTATTTCTTCTATTTTTAACATCAATTCAGATGACACTGCTTTGGTTTAATTAGCAAGATATGGAATTCTGCCCTCTACTCTCATTGTAAACATTTTAAAAATACATCTTACCACTTTCATCCAGCAAGAAATCATCCTGGTAACGGAACTTTTCTGGTCCACATGCAATAAAAATGTCATCATCACCAAAAAAATCCTGAAGGCACATGACCTGCAAGCAAAAAGGAAAGGAAGGCACTATATGAAACAACTCATCATCAGAAATGTAACAATAAATTCCTTTTTGTCTCCATCTGCATGAAAATTCCTCACATTTAATGGAATCCACAGGGCTTCATCTTCAGATAAATTTCAAAGTTGTGCTCTGACCATCTGTTACCAGTGAGAAACACTTTTATGGACAATTCAGGGAAAGATAAGACAAAAAACCATAACTGCCAGATTTATTACATGATGCTTCTATGGCATGAGGTAAACACCTTCTGTTTGTGCACAAGGTACCATTCCATCATTAGCGGGTAATTAATTTGCTTTTCAGTTCACATCTCTATCATTTGACTGCAATGAAACAAGGTTATAGCTTTKTATGCAGAATGAAATGCAGTTATTTCAGCAAAATCTCTCTGACAGGGAATGAAACTCATAGGGGTGAACTGAGCCTCTTCACAAGCTCTCCCTCTGCCAGCAGTCAGTGTGAAGTTCTCTTCAAAGGAACCAAACTGAACAGACAAGTCAGATGGGCTGGAATAATTCTTATAGTACTGAGTAAAATKATAATCTCTTTCTACTCCCATGTATGAAGAGTCAGGATTACATTGGTGCTTTGATGCCCCTATGTGACATTTCAGAGAGTTTATTGCAGCCTTTCAGTACCTAAAGGGGGCTTGGAAGAAAGATGGGGACAGACATTTAAGCAGAGCTTGTTGTGATAGGACAAGGGGTGATGGTTTTAAACCAAAAGAAAGAGGGTAGATATAAGGAAGACAGGGAGAATAGTGAAGCATGGAACAGGTTGCCCAGAGCGCCGGTAGATGTTCCATCCTTGGAAACATTCAAAGATGAGCTGGATGTGACTCTGAGCAACCAGATTTATTTGAAGATGTCCCTGCTCATAATGGGCTATTGGAACTACACAAGCTAAAGTCCCTTCCAACCCAAACCATTCTATGATGCTGATTTCCTTGCAACAGCTTTTAGTTATTTTACAAGGTACTGCTTAATAATTTAATCATTCAATTCATATGGAATCATATTAAACAAAGAATCAGTGACTTTAAAAAAAAATACTTTGGACTTACAGATCCAGTTTTGACAAATTTTAAAAACAAATTAGATATCTACCTACCTTTGAAAAAATCGAAGATACTTAATAAAGTCTTTCTCACATGTAAGAAGATTAAAAAAGGGTAATGTTGCTTATGTATTTTTATATAAAGTTCTGYAATTAAACAGTGCAATAATGTTTCAACAGGCTAATTTCACAGAGTTTCAGGTCTACAGCCAGTAAAGCAACACATAAACAATCTCGAAAAATTGACAAAAGAGTTGAGAACAGCTCATCCAAACAAGCCCCCTCAGAAAAAGCATTTAAAGCCTACAAATACACAAGTGAAAGAATCACCCAATGAGATTTTGCCAGATTTTGGCATAGAAAGTACCCYTACCAGTCTCAAGTAACTGGTGTCTAGGGGCTATAAAATTCRTATCATGCTTCCCAGAAATATGCCTGAAGGCTTTGACAACCACAGTTATAAGCCTTGACAGTAGAAATAACTTAAGGAAGAAAAATAGTGGTACATTTCATGAATTGCTTATAGACTACTATTCATTATTAAAACAATTTTAAAGGTAGAACATCAGCAAATAAAAAAAAAAAAAAAAAAAAAAGAAAAAAAAAAAAAAAAAAAAAAAAAAAAAAAAGGAAATTGAGAGAATAACAACTAGATGAAATCAATAAAAATAAAAAAAAAGACAAAGGTACTTCTTAAAATATCCTTTCCTTAAGCAATGCATGTAATTGTAAATTCAGGTCCACCACAACCCTATTTCTACGACCGTTGTCATCTTAACATCACATACTACCTGAACACCAACTTCAAAAATGTAAATATTTGATAGAGCTTTTTACCACGTTCCTACTCTATTTATGTTCTTTTAGTGTATCAGCCTCAGCAATCTTTAAATAAACTCATTTGTTTCCCATCTTCCTTTTTTGTCCACAAGACATATCCTGCCTATCTTCCCACCCCATACTCCCACCAAACTTCAAACATCTCTTCCCTTCAGTCAAGTTCCCCTGAAAYTGTCACTTCCCCCAATGCATGCACAAAGCTACTATTTTGCAGAATAACATTAAAAATCGTGTGATGTCTTCTTTGCTTCCCAACTTTGACCCACTTCTGAGGAGCAATAACCTTTACATTTGTCTTTATACTAAAGAACCAAACCAATAAKAAGCAACTCTAGGCACAAAGTTAAGCTGTTTTGACAACAAACATGAATACAAATTAAATTCAAAAATTATTAGATTCCAAAAACATTACGGATTTAATAGTAATCAAAAATTCTTGGATCTGCCAACTTAAAATTKTTACTTTCAAGCCTAAACAAGACATTACAATGCAGGTAGCAGCACCTAACCAGGCTCAACTAAGCAAATTTTTTAAGMATTTCAGGTTCAATCAGTGCAATTTATATGCAAGTAAGAAATAAAATAGGATTTACACGCAAAAAAAATACTTTGTACTTAGATATCTTTGGATTTTATTAAACTTTACACTTATAACTTGAAGTGTACTTATGCTTGCCTCTTCTCTCCTTGTCCTCAGTTTCACACTCTGTATGTCAAATTACAGCTTTTCTTGCCTCCTGAAATTTTAACMATTTTGGAATTATCATTCTAGCTCTTAAAAAAGGTCACAATTTCCTTCCATCTTCTTCCAGAATAACTTCTCCTAATGTTTCCAGTACCTTTTCATATGTCATGGGTTTAAACCCKTTTTTCCCTTATCCGAGTCACGGCACCAAAAATGTCGTAGTTCRAACTTGACCGAAAGCCACAAGCACCACACCCAACGACGTTCCCTCCCCCCCACCAGAGAGGCAGAAGGAAGAGCAAAAGCCCAATTAACACTAAAATTTATGGCTTTYAGATAACATAACATAATTGAGAGAAAGACATGTATGCGCTCCAGTAAATGGTCAGACAGGCTGAGTAACTTAAGTTGCAAAATAGATTTATTACTAAAAAACTACTAAGAATACTGCTGCACCGGGGAGGGGAACAAAGATAGGGAAAAATTTACAAGGAGAAGAAAAATAAAAGCGGACATTTTARGACACCTGTTATTCTTTCCAGGGACCCGTCTCTTTCTCAAGTGGTCCCTCTCCACCAACACCCCCCCATGCTTTCCCGCACACAAAAAGGGGAAGGAATGAAAGTTTAACATAGCTCAAACTACTCATTACGGTTGTCGTCCAGCATCATAGGAGAAGCATTCTTACAGCTCCAAGCTGTGGAAGGTCTTTTCCCAAGAAAAAGTCAGTGTATAACTGCTGATGACATGGGATTCTTTTCTCTACCTYGTGGGAGAAAGGAAAAAAAATGTTCTCCAAGGCCAAACTGCTTTATTTCGATGGCATAAGGCCACTATCAAAAATCTCCTGGCAGAATACAGCTTCTTCTAAGCATACACTTACTTAAGACGTGGGGTGGGGGCACCTTTTCCACTCCGCAGAACACAATTTCTTTTAAGTGTCAACTCGCTTCAGACATGAAGGGGGGCCAAGCCTCTTCCCCTTTTTCTTTGGCTTATGATCAGTTCAATCCAGTATTCAAAGGCTAGTTTGTTTTTTTTTTCTCAGAGCAAGGTCGCTCTCCTTTTCTATACAGGTCTCTCATTGAAGAAATAGTCATTTTGAGAACAGCTTGTTTTCTCCATGTCCGAGCACCGCAACAACAGCACAGCACCTGTCTTCTTCTTACTGTGATCTTGGGTGTCCATTGTTTTTCCTAAATCTCCTCACCCTCCTGCTCTGTTTTTCCCCAGTGCATGATACYAAGAATAAATACTAACAACCTAAAAACTAAATGGTGGCTGCGCTCTAGATTGTTTTAAATTCTTCTTAAGYACAAGACCCTATGTTATCACAGAGGTGTAACTAGCCTGTGCAATTGGCCCAGGCCTGATGAGCAGCCTGTCCATCAACCTCAGAGCCCTAATGGATTGGCTCTAAAACACGGGGGATAGGGCTCCTTTTGCTGCAGAAGAAGGAGAAAGCTTCTAGAACTTCCTCACGGGAGCCATCTTTGTGATTTCTTGGTCCCATCCCCCCACCACCGAAAATCAGACYGARTAAAACCAGGACATCATATTATTATCAGATGCCCTAAGACATCCTTTACTGTCTGCATTTTCCATCCTTTCTGTCTCAGCATCCCTGGCCCTCTCTGCAAGTTCACACTCCTCAGCAGTTATATTAAAAGACATCTGACAAATACCCAGCACCCCCTTCCAGGCTTTTTTTTGGAGAGAAATCTGCAAACACTTCAAATTCACACTCAGTCATCAGCTGAGCAACAGGACCTGCTTTTTATTACCCATTTTAACTTCTGGAGAACGCAGCTCCTCACAAGTTACAKTTTAGAAGATCAAGAATTTTTATCACCTAAGCTGGACTACCCAAGTGTTTTAGAAGTCAGACTGCTCTGTTGCATGTGATCAGCTTTAATATTAGTTTTTAAAACAGTGAATTACAGAAGCCTCCCTTGGACTTTCTGTTTGATTTCAAGGCACAGAATCCATCTTCTTTTTCACAAATAAGGTTTTATCCTTTATATTCCACCAAGACATTTCTCACGGGGGGAAAATAAAGCCAATGCAAAAGCAGTCAAACATACACCTTAAATAAAAAGAAAATGAAAAAACATTGTCTGCTATACACATGGTACTAAATACATTGTGACTCTTTTTAACAAAAACTTTTCTGGTAATGAGACGTTATTTAACATTAATGGTGTCTCTCTTCTACTTTGTAAGAGAATGGATGAATAACAGTAGCATTAGCAGAAGCCAGGGAGTGGTGGTGAGAAAGAAAACAAGCAGCAGCAAAGAAAATCAGTCACTGGTACAGGCTTTGGCTACAGGCAAGTCACGTAAATGAGACTGGCTCATCTGGCCATAACCATGCAAAACAGAGGAGGCAGAGGAA